GGATGTATGCTTGGTGATATGAAATGCTTGGCTGAATCAGGAAATATATCTATGGCTTTTCCTGATCACTGACCTTCAGTAAATGGTTCCAAACCCGAATCAATACTCAATAGTCTCCCTCGATGCTGGCGAGGCTATTTGAAACTAAACCTGCAATTCTCCGCAGAAGGATGCGACTGTACAATTCTCAACGTTGCCCCTTATTCAGAGTGACTATCCGGGTATCTACGTGCTGTCTAAGGAGATCAAACAAGTTGACGGGAATAGCTTAGATACTCTTAAGTTCACATGAACTAATAGCTGATGACCTGATCCGGACCTATTACTCGTCTGTGTCTTATACTTCCTCGTTAAGGCTCTGGAACCGATCTTGAGCACGATGAACAACTGCGCTAAACGGTGCAAAATGGCCAAGGTGCGAGGACGAGCCATTACATTCCATTATGGTGAACGACAATAGTTTAGGGAATTCCCAGTCCAACATTGCCATCGATAACCGCAAGTATGGTCAGCCATGTATTCAAACTCTGAAAAATAGATTGACGCCGAGGGCTCGGACAACAGGACGAGACCGTCATTGAATGTGAAGATTACGGGAAGCACGCTTGGCCCCGGACATTCCTTACATGCCGTGAATCTGGGGATTGACTCGATCTTGCACCGAATCCAGCGCCGGACAACGGACGTGCAGTCTCGATTTGTAATGGGTTTGTCAAAAAAGACAGGTATGAGGGGAACAGGAAGAGCGTTCCGAATCCGAATAGTGTAAACGGAGCTAGGACACTGGCAACTATTCCCATGTCCACTTTACTCCGTCGTCTGCTTACTTCGGACTTCTCCCGCTTTGTATCCTGTGCGGTGCCCAGAACTGTCGGCGCAGAATCGTCGGCGGAGAATACGAACTTTGAACCTTCAACGGCAAAGCGCCCAACTACCGATATTGGTATCCGGAGATGTTAGCGTATGTATCCCGGAAGATTCTAGCATGGTGTCTACTGTCCACGGATATGGTGCCGTCGGCAATTCTCCGGGGAAACCCTAGTTTAGCTGGGGTTTGTGGGGGACGCTTGCATGAATAATACATATCTTGGGAGTCGGGACCTCCGAGTTGACCACTACTCGGTGAAGAGAATTGAAAGACGCTAGACAATGACGGCTAGAGGAAGATGTGGGTAGCATTTTTATCATGACGTGCGGGGAATCGAGCGGGATGGACGGCATCAAGCGTATACTCGGCGATTAGCAAACTTTTATGTAAGTTGGGCCGAGTCGCGAGTTTCCATATGGCCTTGTTCGGTGAGTCTATTTTGACAGCCGACTTATCTGACACGGTCAAGAAGGATGTCCATCTGAAATGCCGCTGCAAGGATGTCGACAGGCATATTTCACTAGACGGATGATACCGAGCTCACTGCACAGAGGAACCCCGCGGGGAAGTAGATTGAGATCGGCTGCAGGTGGAGGAAAAGGACTTTCCCATGCTCGCATAACCCTGTAATCTGCACACGGCACCGACCCCACATACTAGGTAGGTGCAAAAATTGCTGGAGTTTAGCCCTTCCCCACACGGCCACAGCAATTCAAGCTGCAAGAAGCACTAGTGTAGGTTCGCGCCAAGTGAGTCGATATTTATAAGAGCTTTGTCATTTTGTCAAGGGCGGACGACTCATGCAACACGGGAAGGAGCCATGGAACTGTACAGTCCAGGAACAGAAAGAAATGACTACCGGGAGATCAAGTCACCGGAGTCTATGACAGAGTTATCCATGGTCGAAGGCTTAAGCGCTTGAAAAATCCAGACTAGACTGAGACTGCTCTCTTGGCAACTGCCATAAGAAGGATGGATCATGGATAGTTGTCGAGTGAAAAGCCGGAGTTCAGCCGAAGCGTGGTCAGTCTATGGGTTCTGTAGCCGGCAATAGTCCCAATACAGCCATACAGTCGGCCCGCCAAGAACGTGGAGCCCCGCTTTGGCTGGGGATGTGGGGACCCCGCATAGTCAACTGTGAATTGCTGTAGTCGTAGTACGGAGATGAAAGAAAACGAGGCTCAAGCCACCTGCTTTGCTGCATCTTTGGCCAACTCAGTCTCTAGAGGCCAGATGGAGGAAGACGAACCGAATGCCACGCAAAGTGATAGTAGCTCGGCAACATCGGGGTACTCCGTATGGGCACGCCTGGTCCAGTCTTGGTCTTTGCCCGGTAGAAAAAAGATTGGGATGAGCGATATGGGAAGTACTACGATCTGAAGTCGCTATGCAATAATAGCCGACATAGGCGGCTCCTCAAGCCGAATCGCAGCTATATCAAGGCCGTGAATCCCCTCGATTCTTGACCTTGAAGATCAGACCTATCGACACTTCTACCCCTCTCTTCGGAACTGAAGATGAAAATCACGGTTCCCCTTCTTGCTGCTGCCCTGCAGCTGGCAGGCACTGCTACCGCGCAGGATGATGCTGCTATCGCCGCCAATCTCGAAAAGTTTTGGTCGTATGGCCGTTCCGAGCCGGTCTACCCCAGCCGTAAGAGTGAATCCAAGACTCGTGATGTCCCCTATGACTAACAGTACGTTGCTCAACAGCTGAAACCCAAGGCTTGGGCGACTGGAAGGAGGCATACGCCAAGGCCAAGGCTCTCGTGGCGAAGATGACCGACGAGCAGAAGAACAACCTCACTTACGGGTACACGTCAACTACCAATGGCTGCTCCGGTAACTCGGGAGGTGCTCCTGGAGTTGGGTTTCCCGGACTATGTTTGCAGGATGCCGGCAACGGTGTCCGAGCTACTGACCTCGTGAATGGATACGCATCGGGTGTCCATGTAGGAGCTGCATGGAACCGCGATCTTGCCTACGAACGTGCTCACTACATGGGTGCCGAATTCAAGCGTAAGGGTGTCAACGTTGCTCTGGGCCCGGTGGTTGGACCGCTTGGGCGCACGGCGCGCGGCGGTCGTAACTGGGAAGGCTTCTCCAATGACCCGTACTTGGCCGGTTCCCTGACCGGAGAGACCATTCGTGGCCTGCAGGAGTCAGTCATTGCCTGTGTCAAGCACTTTATCGGCAATGAGCAGGAGACCAACCGCAACCCTCCGGTGCTTTTGGAGGGCTCCCACAACCAATCCGTCTCGGTAAACCTGGGCGACAAGACCATGCATGAGCTCTACCTGTGGCCCTTCCAGGACGCCATCAAGGCCGGTGCGGGATCCGTCATGTGCAGCTACAACCGGATTAACAACAGCTACGGCTGCCAAAACAGCAAGACACTCAATGGCCTGCTCAAGGGTGAGCTCGGCTTCCAGGGCTTTGTCGTCACCGACTGGGATGCCCAGCACACGGGGATCGCGGCAGCAGACGCGGGTCTGGACATGGCGATGCCCGATTCTGTTTATTGGGAGAATGGTACCCTCGCTCTGGCCGTCAGAAACGGCTCATTGGCCCAGACTCGCCTGGACGATATGGCGACTCGCATACTAGCTTCTTGGTATAAGTATGCGGAGATCGAGCAGCCGGGACATGGAATGCCTGTCGATCTGCGGAAACCTCATGAGTTGACCGATGCTCGCGATCCCAAGTCCCGGTCCACCATTTTCCAGAGTGCCGTGGAGGGTCACGTCCTGGTGAAGAACACCAACAATGCTCTGCCACTCAACAAGCCCAAGCTCCTCTCTCTCTTCGGCTACGATGGCATTGCCGCCACCCAAAACACAATGGACAACGTCACCTTTGGCCGCTGGATCTTTGGACTGTCCAACACCCTGAACTACCCCAACGGCAGCGCCATCGATACTGCTGTTCAAATGGACATGTTCCTCTCGAGCTACGATCCCACTGCCGAGGGTCCCGGCGTCGCCCTGAATGGCACCCTGATCTCCGGCGGCGGTTCCGGAGCCACCACGCCCTCCTACATCGACGCTCCGTTTGACGCCTTCCAGCGCCAGGCCCGCGAAGACGGCACCTTCCTTGCGTGGGACTTTGCCTCGCAGAAGCCCATCGTCAACCCGGCCAGCGAGGCCTGCATCGTCTTCGTCAACGAGCTGGCCTCTGAAGGCTGGGACCGTCCGTACCTGGCAGATCCATACTCTGATGAGCTCATAATCAGTGTCGCCTCCCAATGCAGCAACACTATGGTCGTCATCCACAACGCGGGCGTCCGCCTCGTCGACCGCTGGATTGAAAACGCCGACATCACCGCCGTTATCTACGCCCATCTCCCCGGCCAGGATACCGGCGGCGCCCTGGTCGAGGTCATGTACGGCAAACAGTCCCCCTCCGGCCGTCTCCCGTACACCGTCGCCAAGAGCGCGTCCGACTACGGCAATCTGCTCCACCCCGTGGTGCCCGAGGGCGATCGCGACCTCTGGTACCCGCAGGTCAATTTCACCGAGGGCGTGTACATCGACTACCGTGCCTTCGAGGCGCACAACATCACCCCTCGGTTCGAGTTTGGTTTCGGTCTCACATACACCAACTTCTCCTACTCCGCGCTCGAAGTCGAGCTCGTCCCCGGGGCAAACACCGACTACCTGCCTCGCGGCTCCACCATCGCCGAGGGCGGCCTCCCCTCTCTCTGGGATGTCGTGGCGACGGTCAATTGCACGGTGACCAATACTGGCACGGTGGAGGCGGCCGAGGTCGCCCAGCTGTATGTTGGGATCCCCGGCGGTCCGGCCAAGCAGCTCCGAGGCTTCGACAAGCAGACTATCAAGCCGCACAAGAAGCAGCACTTTACCTTCGACCTGACCCGTCGGGATCTGAGCACCTGGGATGTCGAGAAGCAGACGTGGGGGTTGCAGTCAGGAAGCTATCCCATCTACGTGGGTAAGAGTGTGCTGGACGTTCAGCTCACCGGTACTTTGCACATCTGATATTGAATGGATAGTATATTTTCGTGTATAGACAGTAATAATGAATTACGATGTGATGTCGTCAGTCTATCCACGTATTGACAATATTAGTACATAACCGTAAGCTCATAATCTACATATCCTCGTCACGATCGGCTACACCACACCTTTGACCTCCCTCTTCTCCATCAGGTTCGTTACCCTCGTACTCTGCCCCGCCAACGCCGACCCAACCACCGCACCTAGCACAAGCACAACCCCAACAAGAAGCTACCAACATCAGCCATGCCTCTCTCAAACGGCCATAACACTCACCTTCGGATCAATATCCCTAGACTCCACAACCAACGGCCCCAAAACCGCAATCGCAAACCCCATCCCCTGCGCAAAATTCTTCGTCACCGAACTCGTAGCCCTCACACACCACGCCACCAGGAACCCGCCGGACGCCTGTAAACACACAAACACCCAGACCAGGCTACTAAACCCCTCAAAGAAGCTGGATCCATCTATCCTGCACTTTGACTTCCAGAGGAACGAGAGCAGCGCGAAGAGCAGACTGTGCGCGGCGAGTTGGGCGTTCCGGACGAAGAAGGAGTTTGCGGCTGTGGTTGTGGTTGCGGCGCGTTTGAGGGATCGCTCGATACAGAGGCCTCCTAGGGCGACGCTTGACCCGGACAGAAGCATGGCGAGGACCCCTGGGAGGGGGTGGGTGTGGAGTGTGGTGCGGTGCTGCTGGTTCTCTGCTGAGGCGTTGGCGCCGGTCTGGGCGAGGATGATTCCCGCTGTCATTGTGAGGGTGGAGGTCCAGTGCTGGAGGGTGAATCTTTGGTTGAGGAGGAAGGTTGCGAGGAGGGGGGTGAGGATGAGTTTTGTTTGGGAGAGAGCGAGGTACGGGAGGAGGTCGAGGGAGGAGGCGCCGATGCTCTGGGCGAAGGAGGCGGCGGTGTAGAGGAGGGCTGGGAGGGTTGCTTCCTCGTGGTTTGTTCTGAGGGTGGTGAGGAGGGATTTGTGCCCATCTGCTATTTGAATGATGCAGAGGAGGGAGGTGGCCAGTTTGAGGAGTTCGGAGAGGAGGATGCCTGTCAATGGATCGAAGTGCTTGTTCTCGGTTGTGGACCGGGACTGGATTTTGTGTTGCAGCTATCATAATCTTTAGTGCTGGTCTTGAGAAAGGAGTTGGGCACATACAATGATTGATGCTGCATTTTGTAGGACGAGCTGATCGTTTAGCAGAGTACAGTCATGGCAAATGGAGAGAAACATACCAGGAAAAGACCGATAATCGTTGATACTTGGACTTTGCTATGCCCTATGAAGTTGAACCTGCATGCTGTCACTACCAGAAGTATACGCATTGCGTCTGTCTTACATGTCAATAGCAACTACCATGTCACTTCCTTTCAACAACGAGGATAGATGATCATCGCTCTACACATCGTTCCCCAGAAGTTAACCTCAACTAAGCGAAAGGGCCAGGCGCCCAGGCTGATTTAGGTATGGATTGATCCCTGAAAGTCAGCCTCATCGTCGGAAGTCGGAAAATTGCGGTCTGCCATTCCCTGGTCCCATGCGAGAGGTCTCTGGCATGAGAATCTACAGATCCACTCCAAGGAAAATGTCGCATTGAGCCTTACAAGAACCACTAGGACTTCTCAGTCAAGGAGCGAAACAGCGAACTCACGCATGATCCAAACGCAGTTAGCGCATGCGATGGAGGGATACTATTCAATCATGGTTAGGGCTATATGCACAGTAACCAAGCGGACAACGCACAGGCAGAAATAATAGTCAAAATAAGTGCCAACCGATCAGTTTAGGCAGCCGGATTCTCAGTATCCAACAGGAGACAGGATGCCCTCGGATAATCTAACCTATATTCTCCCGTGTCTCGTGTGAAGTTGCCTTGGCCCAAAGTATGACTGGCATGGAGCCAATCAATGCGCCCGGTGTTGCTCACAAGACCCTGGCGCCTGAGACGGTCGTCGTATAATTGGAGGATCCATACGCCAAGCTCGATTATCCGTGGATCTACAGAGCTTGTTGCATTGAGGCCCCACGGTTGGAAAGGGTCCAAATTTTAAACATAGTAGCCTAGCCCCTGGTGGAAGCGTGAGACGGATACGCAAAGGGTGAAGACGAGAGAGAAAACCGAGGCACGGCTCCTTTTTCCATAAGCAACTCTTGTGATTTGCCAAGATTACAGGAAACATCCATGGACGCATCTGGAATGGAATGACCGGCCGGAATGCTCGGGCCTCTCTCCCAAAGCAGCCTCGTATCGCTGCTGTACTGTAAGATACACGACGGTAATATTACGAATGATTGCCCTTATTCTCAAAGACAGACAGCGCTTGTGACCTCTTACCGCTTCTTGTGTTTAACTTTGTAGATCAAGGCATATTACTTAGTATCTCTATTGGCGACTCCTGTGTACATTGGTGTGTTCAATATCTTTGTATAGCCCAGGCCAGACTTTGACGGCTAGCGAGGCACAGCGCTGGCGGCTACTTTCTTGCAAGGATTGGCTATGAACACTATTATAGCACGGTCAAGCTCTCATAAGTCTTCGCTAGAGCGGGCTACTCCGAATAAGTGAGCCGAGATATGATACGTCGAATGGTGGCAGTCAAGCACCCACGAACAAGTCCTCCAGTCGGAATCGATGACCACATGGGAAGAGCTTAGACACGCCCCGATTCAAGCTTCAGGTGGTAACCTGCATGAGCATAGCATATAGGGAGAGTTCCATCTATTGGGGACATCGGATCCGAACACGCCACTAGCCAGCACAAGGAGAAAAGTTGGGTCGCTTAGAATACACTATCCCACAGTAGTACACGTGATATATGCCGCATTAAGGAGTACCGTACCTGATCTCGTCTATTACCTGTGGAATACATAGGAGTCATAACGTCATCCCTTGTAATGCCATCCCTTGTCCCCTTGACCAGTCGATGGGATTGAAGCATATAGCATGAAACAGGCAAAGAAAAGAAAATCAGAAGAATAATAAATTAGTAAAAACACATACAGACGGCCAGCTAGTACAAATGACAGAAATACAAAGTCAGGGACTTCATACAGGGTTCAGCGCCACAATGTCCCGTCCGCCTCTGCGCGTTGCCAGTTAAGGTTCCCGAATAATTTCCAACAAAAGTCTCGCAGTTGGTTGGAGGGACCCGCAGAGATCTCCAGGCAGCAGTACCTCAGTCCCTGTACTGTGTAGTGTCTGGAATTTTTCCAGGGGCATACATGTAGATATTGCGAAGACCATCTGCAATGCCATGAAAATTGTCCGCTACTAGAGATCATGGCGCGCAATCGTCTCCGATTGCTTCTAACCATTCTTCTGGCGCTTTTGATCGCCGGCCTGTTCTCCTCCTCGCTTCAGCGATTATACTACCTCGTTCGACTCCCCTTTGTTTGGAAAGCCTCCTCCGCAGCCGCAATCATCTCGCATGAACATGACCGATTCGACGTCACATTCGCCGCCTACGAGGCCAATTACTCGACTGCCAATGCGGGACAGGCCCCCCTAATACCTCCCATACTGCATCACATTCACGTGGGCTCCAGACCGCCACGAGCGGAGTGGCTCGAGGCGCGCGAGCTGTGCCTGAAGCATCACGCGTCCTGGAGTACGTTCGTCTGGACCGAGGAGAGCGCGGAGAAGCTGGTTCGCGAGGAGTTTCCTCATCTATACTCGATGTGGAAGAGCTATCCGTATATGATCCAGCGGGTKGATGCGCTGCGGTATATGATTCTACAGAAGCACGGTGGTGAGTCTACTACCTGGGCAGCAGTGTGATGGAGCTGACTCAACAGGCGTCATCCTCGACTATGACCTGGCGTGTAAACGATCTCTCGAGCCTCTGCGGCAATTCGACTTTGTCGCTCCAGCCGCCCACCCCGCCGGTCTCTCCATCGGCATGATGCTCTCCTCGCCGGGGAATCCGTACATCAAGGCGCTGGTCGACAACCTCCCGCTGTACAACCACCGGTGGTTATATCTCCCGTATGTCACGGTCATGTTCAGCACAGGCTGCCACTACGCTTCGTAAGTTTTACAACAACAAATACTGTATTCAAGTCTAATGCATACAGAACAATCTACACCCTCCAGTCCAACCGATCCTCTCTCCGCATCCTGTCCGGCCCGCCCGACGCACCGCGCATGCACATGCTGAACGGGCAGGTCAACACCCCGCTCTTCCGCCACCTGGGCTCGTCCTCCTGGCATAACCGCGACGCGCGGCTGATCTCGCTGTTTAAGAATCTCGATCAGCGGGCGCTGTTCGCGGTATTGGTTTTTAGTCTCTTTGCTGCCACGACGATGATACTGTGCTGTGTGCACCGTGCGCGCGGCCGATCTTCGGACGAGGAGCAAAGCACGCCTGTCTCGAAGTCGTTGACCAAGAGTGCTTAGTTGGCGTCTCCATTATATACCGTTTTTTATCTTGTTATGTATCTTGTTACGCATGGGCTGTCTAGAACCATTGTTTGTATATACTTCTGAATCGACATCAAGCTACCAGTTTATTCAAATTGTTAAACCACATATACCGACTAATCACCAAGTAAAGCGACCGATCCCACGAGTACTGGCTCGCGTGCTGGCTGAATGCCGCTCGCGAGACGAGGTACGTCCGCCAGGGACTCACCAGCAGGACCTTGTCGTTGTATGCATCTAGCGGAGAAAGATCATGGACGCCGTCTGCCGCGCTCGCTGCGGGAGAGGTAAGGATAGCTTTGAGAATGCGCCACGAGAACGGGATAGCGGTAGGGACGAGGTCGATAAGCGACGAGTATTTGCGGAGGAGGAAGGTGCTTTGCAGTGCGTATGCGGGCGGCGCTTGCGGTGTGCTTGCGATGTATTTTCTGGCCTGTTAGTTGCATTAGGGACAGGTGGAGATGAAGAGAACGAACGAACCGGACACCGGCGCTGACAGCTCTGTGGTTGACATGGCCCGAGACGCCTCCATTATCGAAGGTGATGATCTAGAAGATGAGTACCAGTACCAGCACCAGCATTCAATTGCACGGCAAAGGACATACCAAGTCAACATTCCATTTCTGGACGTGCGACGCAACAAGGTCCTTGACCAGGTCCTCATTCCACCATTTCTTGGGATTATCCTGCAGCTCGGCATTGTCCAGTACGACGCAGCGATCGGGGACGATGCCCAGCACGGAGCAGCTATCGTGGATTTCCTGTCGGCGACGCTCGCCTATTCCCTCGTAATTTCCTAGGCGAGTAAGCATTAGACGATACAACTGATGTTCAACGTACCCGAGGATATCACCAGCAAAGCCCGCTGCACGTGCGGATCATCGCGTCGGTAGGTGATGCTCGGACTGAAGAAGAGCGTCTCGTCGTCCGGGTGGGCAGTTACGAGGAGGATACTCCTTGCGTGCTGAAACGCGACGGGCACCAGCCGCGGGTCATTTGCCAGGTAATACGCAAGCAGGACATAGAGACATAGGGCAGTGAGGGCTACAATGAAAAAGAGAGATAAAGCTACCCGGGCTAGTTTTCGTCGTTGGCCTTGCCGGCCGAGGCGCTGGACTATCCAGACGAGCTTCATGTTGTATCGATGATCATTCGGTTCCAGCGCATCAATTGTACTTGGGAGTTGTAGTCTGACTAAATTGACACCAGATGATCGCGTCATTGCAAGGCCAGGATGAGTGTAACCTGGTTTGCGACTTCCAGGTTGCAAGACAATAAGACAATACCAACGGAATACACGGTTATACGGTTATACCATTACACAGCTGCCCCCACAGCTCTTGGATTTGCGTCTGGCAGCTCTGTTACCTCTGGGCAAAGCTTGATAAGTTTTGAGTTAGCGTTTCCGAATGCTCGTCGTTGCACCAATCCAACTGCGCAAAATCCGTCTGCCTACAGGACCCTGGTGTTTGCGCAGTTCTAGTGAAGTTAATCCGTGGTCCTCGATCGGTCTCGCGTATTTTGACTTTATGGCGTTGGGCACATAACAGACTAATAGCATCCTGACAATGTGACTAGAATTGTCTTTTCTCTAATTAGAGAAAATATCGCGCATCCTCTGTGCTCAACCGCCAGCCATGTCCTGGGTGCGCGCCAAATTCCTGTTCCTGGCCTCCAGGCTACTCCGCCTCCCCTCCTGGTCAGGGTATTCCGTGCTTCCCCGATCGTCTGGCCATAGTAGAGCTATCTTTTCCCGGAGTCCGCGGACCCCCTACCGCCGTATCATCCTGCTTGTCCGGATAGCAGTAGCAATTCTTGTGTGCGATATCATACTGACGCCCATCTTCTGGCCTTCGTACACGCACCTCCCGCCCTGCTATGAGAACCTCAGAAAAATAGTTTCAA